AACCTCTTCTATAGAAGAGGTTAGAACTGGCAGGAACCCACCGCTGGATGAAAACTAGCCAGCTAGTCAAATTGTCCTGTAGGTAGGGCAAAATGAAAAGGTAAACACACCAAAGCTTGATCCTATTCTCTTTAAAATGAACTTGCTCTGGACTGACTACAGTTGTCTACGGAGATTCCCAGTCATCCAGATCATGGTTGTCCCAAAGGTGTTTTTTCAAAAGGCAACTGGACTTTCTTTGTTTTTCACTGAAGATGTTTGCTTTTCATCCATGAAGCTTCTTTAGTTCCGTTCTTCAGAAGTGAACAAGCTTCTTGAATGAAAAGTGAAACATTTTCAATGAAAAACAAGAAAGTCCAGTTGCCTTTTGAAAAAGCACCTTTGGGATTAACTACAGTTGCTAATATCCTTTTGGTTATGGCAAAATTTTGTTCAGTATGCATTATTCATTCTTGATTCATGGCTTTTCTCGTGAACTTATCTAAGTCGGGGTCACCAACCTTTTGGACTTCAAGGACAACTAAATTCATAATTTGAAATCCCGCAGACCATTAATATGATCTGCCTAATGACCAGCTGAGTGGGCGTGGCTAGGTGGTCATGTCACTGGGTGGGTGTGGCCAACTCGATGTCACTCATCGAGGGGCACCTCGACAGCCTCTACTTGCCCCTCCCCTCCCAGCCACTCCTCGCCTGCCTGCCTGGGCTCCTTAGGGCCCCAGTAGGAAGCAGTTGCTGGAACTAAGCAGCAACCACAAGAAAGAGTTGGCAAAACAAATGGCTCAGTTCAAATTGGATTTGACCGAGAAGGAAGCTCAGCAGAAGCATCTCACTGAGGACTACAAGCCTAGACTTTCCAAGCAGAGGGAAGACCTGTGGGAGTGCAAGGCCAAGTACTGGTGCCTGGAGACTCAGCAGGCTGAGATGGTCAGTCAGTTCCAGACCATAATGCAGTCCCACTGGAACAAGGCCCCCCGACTCTTCGCCACCAGCGGCTCTTCCCTCCAGCCTTTGCCCAAAGCCCCGCACCAGGAGGCCGAAGCAGACCCAAGGGGGAATTTCTGCCCCCTTTCGACCCACACAAAAAGACCCCAAAGTTCTGCAGCAACACAAACGTGCATTGCACGTATCCGGCCCAGGGGCCGTAGTTTGAGGACTCCTAATTTAGTGCAATATAAAAAATGCAAACAATTTTTTTCAGACCACCAACATTTTCTCACGGACCACCAGAGATCCACAGTGGTGGCCACTGATCTAAGTAGCTTCAGCCTTGCTGAAGGGGGTGATAGCTGACAGTTAAAGAGCCCTGAGAAATACGACATTGCTTGTTCCTGAACCGTAAGCAGAGTTTATTAAGCAACACGGGGTATGAAGGATCCTCCTCTGTTTGAAGACATGAATAACTACTATACTGACCTGTTCTGACCCCCCTAGTCCCACACCAACACACACTCCGAGCTAAAGATAAGTTATGGCATTTAATTAACAGACAGAGAGGTCCTTGGCAGCAAACCGGCACAAACAAGATTGGGCAGCAATAAACACAGATAGGGCTTGGCAGCAATCCAGCCTGCCAAGCTCATAACAATGTTCTCCGACATTCGTTCCTGCGTTGACTTGTACAAGAGGGGAGTGTGCACGA